AAAAAAAAAAAAAGATTAAATAGACCACGCCCCAGTGGGCTGGTATCTTAGCAGCTATTGGCTGAAGGAGTGGAAGGTCCTCCCACAGCACAAAGCAGTTTCTTTATTCATTAATGGTAATCACAACATACAGAGGGAAATCCCACATCACTTGTTGGTTTTATCCAAACAAGCATTACACGCTGGAGTTTCTCAGTTTGATGCTCTTTGAGTCTTTCCTCAATCCATCTCCAGTCACAAATTAATCCCCATTAATAAAACAACTCCTACATCTGTTTTCCATTTTTTTTTCTTTCCCAAGAGAGGGTTTCTCCACATGTAGCCCTGGCGGTTCTGGAACTTGCACACTAGGCAAGGCTGACCTCAAACTCACAGAGATCTGCTTACCTCTGCCTCCCTGAGTGCTGGGATCAAAGGAATAGATGACCAAACCTGGCTCTGATATTATTTTTAACTTTTCTCCTTACTCACCTGTATCCATCAAACCATCAGGTCTTGTCAGTATTACAGTTTTCTCTGGGATTTCCCCCTCCCCACCCAATCATATCTCACATACACACACACACACACACACACACACACACACACACACACACCATACAACACTATCTGCAAACATATATAGGCAAAAAGAAGAATGATAAGGTTAAAATTAAAAAATCATTCATTTTGTGTTGTATACTTATGTAATTTTGGATTCAGTTTTTAATTCGGATTAAAAATTGTATACCCATGTTTCAGAAACATGTTTCATTTCTGCAATTTTCTGTTTGTAATATCTTAATTAGATGTTAGTACATGGATAATGCTTTTTTATTTGGGATATACTGGGGAGTCTGCCTTCTTTTGAAACTGTGTTGTCTTAGAATTTTCATTTTCAGATGGGTTTCAAGTACTAATTTAATTTCTTTAATACATACAGGTTCATACAGGGTACAGGTGAGTTTGTGCCTTTCAAAGAATTTGTTCACTTTCTTATAACATGTTGAATTTACTAATTCTGGCCTCTGTGTCCCAAGCTTACAAACACTGTCAGAGGAGTTAGTATAGACATTCATGGGACACCTCATTTGCTGTCCATTTCTCTGGGACCATTATCTTTTTGGCTGAAATCTGCTGCCATGAAACCCTTGTACACATTTTGTATTTTTAGGTTGTTTCAGGCAGGAATGAAATTCCAGTTTTTGTTTCAGGAAAAAGGAGGAGGACGAGGAAGAGGAAGAGAAGGAGGAAGAAGAATAAAAATAAGGAGGAGGAGAAGAAGAAGGCTTGATTAATGAAATTTAAATCTAGATATATACTTTTCTTAGTGTTCAGTAACCTTACTGTTACTGTGTCTATTTATGCTCATGAATCCAGGCATGCTCTATCCACCATGAAGAACAGTTATTAAGTTACACTCAAATATGAACTCTTTTTCTGAATAAAATTAATCTAGGCTTAATTGAGCTGTCTTGTCTTCTTTTTTATTTTATCCTCAGAGTAAAAGTAGATGGAGAATCTTTCAACTTCCCGTTACAGGTATAGCTCCTTGTCAAGGGCCACAGAAATGGACAGAGGTAGTCTGTATTTCAACAGAATACCAGAAATGATTGCAAAATTTTAAGTCCTTTCAGTTTCATATAAATTGAGGGTTTATTATCGAGAAAATAATGATAAATGACTCTGGATAAACTGCAGGTGTCCATGAACAAGAGATTGTGGCCTTCACATCGTTTTCACATGGCCTTCATGTGATCTGCACATGGTCTTCACATGGCTTTCATGTGATCTGCACATGGCCTTCACATGGTTCTCACATGGCCCTCACATGGTCTTCACAACTAAAATGAATCAAAAAAGACAAAGAAGTACATTTCATATTTGTCACAGGAAAAGTCTATCAATAGGAAATCTCAATACCGAATGTCTATGCCCCAAATACAAGGGCACCCTCATATGTAGAAGAAACACTACTAAAGCTTAAATCACACTTAAGCCCCACACACCATTAGTGGGAGACTTCAACACCCTACTCTCACCACTGGACAGGTCTATCAGACAGAAAATTCACAGAGAAATAAGGGAACTAACAGATGTCATGACTCAAATGGACTTAATAGACATCTATAGAACATTCCATCCAAACATAAAAAATATACCTCCTTCTCAGCACCTCATGGAACCTTCTCAAAAATTGACCACATACTAAGTAACAAAGCAAATCTCAACAGATAAAAAAAATTGCAATAACCCCATGTATCTTATCGAATCACCATGGCTTAAAATTAGAATTCAACAGCAACACTAATTCCAGAAAGCCCACAAACACATGGAAATTAAACAATGCTCACCTGAGTCACCAGTGGGTGAAAAAAAAATCGAGGAAGAAATTAAAGACTTCCTAAAATTCAATGAAAATGACCACACAACGTACCCAGTTTTATGGGAAACAATGAAAGCAATGCTAAGAGGAAAGTTCAAAGCACTAAGTGCCTTAATGAAGAAGCTGAGAAACTCCCACACTAGTGAGTTAACAGCATATATGAAAATTCTAGAACAAAAAGAAGCAAACTCACCCAGGAGAATTAGATGGCAGGAAATAATCAAATTGAGTGCTAAATAAAAAAAATACAAAGAAAAAAATACAAAAATACAAATAATCAATGAAACAAAGGGTTGGTTCTTTGAGAAAATCAACAAAATAGACAAACCTTTATCCAAACTAACCAAAAGGGAGAGAGAGAGAGAGACAGAGAGAGACAGAGAGAGAGACAGAGAGAGACAGAGAGAGAGACAGAGAGAGAGAGACAGAGAGAGACANAAAAGGGAGAGAGAGAGAGAGACAGAGAGAGACAGAGAGAGAGACAGAGAGAGACAGAGAGAGAGACAGAGAGAGAGAGACAGAGAGAGACAGAGAGAGAGAGACAGACAGAGACAGAGAATATCTAAATTAACAAAATCAGAAATGAAAAGAGGGACATAACAACAGACATCAAGGAAATCTAGAGAATCATCAGGTCAAATCTTGAAAAACTGTACTCCACACAATTGGAAAACTTAAAAGAAATGGACAACTTTCTTTTTCAATTTTAATTTGGTAAATATCATTTACCAATATTAAATAAAGACCAGATAAGCAAATTAAGTAGACCTATAACTGCTAAAGAAATAGAAACAGTCCTCAAAGGTCTCCCCTGGGGAAAAAAAAAAAAGCCCAGGATCAGATGTTTTCAGCGTAGAATTCTACAGGTTTTTTTTTTTTTTTTTAATTTTCTAGATAGGGTTTCTCTGTAGCTTTTTTTTTGGTTCCTGTCCTGGAATTAGCTCTGGTAGACCAGGCTGGCCTTGAACTCAGATCTACCTGCCTCAGAGTCTGGAGTGCTGGGATTAAAGGCGTGTGCCACCACTGACCGGTTCTACAAGATTTTTGAAGAAGAACTAATACCAATACTCCTCAAGTTGTTCCTTTTATACAAAAGGAACATTGCCAAACTCTTTTTTATGAGGCTACAATTACCCTGATACCCAAACCACATAAATACATTACTAAGAAAAAGAATTACAGACCGATGTCACTCATGAACATTGATGCAAAAATATTCAACAAAATACTGGCAAACCAAATACAAGAACGCATCAGAAAAACCATCCATCATGAGCAAGTAGGCTTCATCCCAGAGATGCAAGAAAGCTTCAACATATGTAAAATCTGTCAATGCAATCCACCATACAAAGAAACTGAAAAAAAAAAAAAAAACCCACACATGATCCTTTCATTAAATGCCGAAAAAGCCTTTGACAAAATACAATATCCTTTCATAATAAAGGCCTTGGAGAGAGCAAGGACACAAGAAACATACCTAAACATAATAAAGGCCATATACAGCAAGCCAACAGCCAACATCAGACTAAATGGAGAGAAACTCAAAGCAATCCCACTGAAATCAGGAAGGCTGTCTACTCTCTCCATATCTCTTTGCTGGGAATTAAACTCAGGACCTCTGGGGAAAAAAAAAAAAAAAAGCAGTCAGTGTTAAGAGCCATCTCTCCAGTCCCTGATTTTGGTCTTGAGTTCCAGCTATAACAGACTTCAGCATGTTAGCAGTTGTGAGCTTCAGAACTTCGTCACTTGAATTGTCTTCCTTATACACTTCCGCTGGTAACTTTCGGCTAATACAACTTCTTCAGTTTAGCAATTCCAGTGAAGATGTCTCCTCTTTTTAGTCTTATTATTTGAAAACTGTAATATATGTAGGGAGTTGGAAAGGGTTCAAATTGTTCATTGTGATTGTATGTGCTCCATTAAACCCTGTCCCAAGGAGGCCTTTTTAGGGTGAAAGCAAATTTAGAAAGAAATAAATGAAAAGTGAAATAGAGTAGTAGAAACTCTTTAAGTTTAGGAACACGACCAGTGAAGATGCAAGAGCTGGACCCAGAAGGGATGGTGGCATGTTGCAGAAGTTTTTTGAGGCTAGTGTCATGACCTGGGAGTGTAGCGATCACACTGAAGAATCGAAGGTCACTGACTACTTTTTTAACTTCTGTCCCTGAGCGCAGTGGGGGACAGGAAGCAGCTGCAAGCAGTCTCAAACCACAGCCCTTGACCTTGGCGGCTGCAGACAGGACCTGTGTCCTGTGGGAGCCACTGAGGCGCCTTGCAGCTCCCTCCGGACCCTCCAGGCGGCCCTGCGCGTGCACGGCACGCGCGTCCCCAAGCGCGTTCGTGTGCGGCCCGGGCCGGGAGGCGCCGCTAGGGAAGCCGCGCCCGCCCGCTGACCCTGATCACACGCGTGTCGTCCTAAAACGTGCCTGTCTCATCAGTCGAGAAGTTCTGGTTTCTACGCCGAAATATACCCATCAGAGAGGATGCATGACGAAGCACTGAAGGATCCTGTGCTTCACGGTAGAATGCAGAAGTCGGGCTAGGTGAGCACGACCGCGCAAAGGCTGAGCCACTCCGGCACTGTGGAGGACAGCCGCATCCGGGCTTTCCTGCCGCAGGCTGCCCTCCGAGCCAGGGGTCCTTCAGGTAGGAGGTTCTGGGTGACTTTGGACGTCCGCTCAGCCGGGTTGCCGAAGCCGTTTGGTGTGTGTCCCGCTCTCGTTCTCCTGTCTCCGTGGAGGTAGTCCCCTGCCGCAAACATGCTCCGTCAGATCGTCGGGCAAGCCAAGAAACATCCCAGCGTAAGTCCATGGTCTTTTCCAGGGTGGCTTCTGTGTTTGGTGCACCTGCCTCAGTCCCCTGGGGACGCTCCCTTTTCGCTGTTCCTGGGGTTTACCCTGTCTGTGGTTGGCCTGACCCGGCTGCTCGAAGCCCTTTATTTGTCACTGTTTTCCGCTGCGGAGTTTTGCCAGAAGCAGAAGGTGGCAGACATCGGGGAGGAAGGTAAACATTCTGAGTGTTGGAACGCTGGCCACGCTCTCGCAGATTGGTTGCTCCAAAGAGGGTTGGATGGTACACGGAGTGGGTTAGAATCCAAGAAAGGCCAGGTTTGTTATCTTGGCCTTTGAGGCTTTTATATCCACTGCATTGCATCGCCAAGCCTTCGGAAATGTAAGGGATCTTCATCCCGGAATCCTTACTTTTCTTGGATACCTTGCATTTGCAAAATTTACTTAAGTTTTCTTGATATCTCATTTTTGTTCAGTAAAACTCCCCCTATGACAGTCCCTAAGATAACTAATCTTTACCTTAAGCCTGGTTTTCCAAATACTTAGCTAATTTAGTAGAAATCTGTTTTCAGAGTTAGTTCCTAAAGCCAGTGCCTTTAACAGACCTGCCTGCCCGCTGATTCTGCTCTTTATTTCACAGAGATTGTGTGTTTATCACTACCATTACTATTGTTATCTTTATTATTTTTAGTTTTTTTCTAGACAGGCTTTCTCTGTGTGGCCCTTGCTGTCCTGGAACTCGCTCTGAAGATCAGTCTGGCCTCTAACTCGTAGAGATCCGCCTGCCTCTGCCTCACCAGTGCTGGGGTTTAGAGGCATGCGCCAGCCAGAGCCACACAGCAAGAAGTCAGACTCTTAAAACCAAAATAATCCTAATGCCTTTAGAATACAATTGAAAAGAAACATTGCTTCCATCTAAGATCAACCTTTGTTCACATTTTAGGACAAGTTAGCGAAATGGATTTGGATGTTACCATGTAGGAGCCATTGTAGTCTTATTTTGGACAAGATCAAAGAATGTGATGACGGGTACTATGTTTTGTCTATTCTTTGTTCTAGTTGATTCCTCTCTTCGTATTTATTGGAGCAGGAGGTACTGGAGCAGCACTGTATTTGATGCGCCTGGCATTGTTCAATCCAGATGTCAGGTGAGTCTCCTGATGCTTCAAGCTTGGATGGCTGGCTGAGGAAGCTGCCCTGGGGACCACAGTAGAAACAACTACAATTTCGTAGCCACGCAGCCTCCAGGACTTTCTGCTGCTGACATTTACCTTTCCTGTCTCATCAATTTACCCAATTTCTCTGAGTTTTAGTTTTCTGTTGGCAAAGTCGAATTGCTAAGTATTTCATTATTTCATTTCAGATTGGGATAATAATTGTTATGTTTGTTTATTATTGTTGTTTGGAGACAGGGCCTCATTATATATCTCTGGCTGTCCTGGAACTCACTGTGCAAACCAGGCTGTCATTGAACTCACGGAGATCTGTCCGCCTCTACCTCCTGAGTGCCAGGATTAAAGGCGTGTGCCGCCATGCCTGGGAATCACTGCTTTTTATATAATACGTAATTGTGATTCTTGTCCTGTGTGAATGTTTTATCTTTTAAACAATAAAATGATCTTTTTTGCAGTTGGAGATGATTAATGGGGAGTCTATAAACTTTTATATATTACCTCAATGATAAAAATAGAAGACTTTATAAAATCCAAATACAAGCATTCCTGCTAGAAATACAGGGATGAGGACAGATATCCTAAATGGCTGTTACTGTGATTTCTACCAGTTGCATGCTTGTTTAACTATGAATTCTACTCCTGTTTCGCTTCATAGTGAAAGTAATACAGTCTTATATCTACTAGAAAATGAATGAGTTTGATCTCTTCAAAATACTAGCTTCTAAGGAAGTATTTCAAAACATGATTTAAGTAGTGTTTTATTACTATAATAATTATACTGTTTTATTCATTTTAGCTGGGACAGGAAAAATAACCCAGAGCCTTGGAACAAACTGGGTCCCAATGAACAATATAAGGTAAGATACAACATTGTTCAACGTTCTTGGAAAGCATATTGTAACAGATCTGTGGCTCTGTGGTAGTTTTTCTTGAAATGAGATGTGCAGGCAAAACTCCATTATCATGATGAACCTTGAAGAGTTACTGCCATTGCGTTTGAAGTATGGACAGCCTGGTCTCTTGGGTGGTTTGGTTGCCTGTTTCTTCTTGGTATGGTTCAAATATTTTTGGTGAGGTTTAGTAGGAAGAAATGAAAGTCAGTTAAAAATAAAATTTTGCCATGAGCCTCATAGATAAGCTATAACACCTTCCCAGAAGGGTGGTCTATTTAGCTACTCTTTGAAAGATTGTATTCATGTACCATGACTATTGATTTCTCAAACATAACCTTGCTTATGTGTTGTATTTGTGCATGTAAACCTTCTGTTGCCAAGAGTTCGGGTATAATTTTCATGCCAAACAATCTATCTATTTAACGTGCCTACACCTCCCTTAGGTTTTCTGCTGCATCCAATTGTTCCTCAGTACCTAGCAGTTTGCCTTAGCTCCCCAGAAGGGTCACGCTGAGCCGTGTTTGACTAAGACCTGGGGAAAGTGTCTGTGGTAGAGACACGTGTTCTCATTACTATTTGTAGCAACTTTAAAGATTATTCTTTACTCACTTTATTTTTTCTTTTTATTCCTTTGGTTTGTTCATTTTTTTTGAGACAGGGTTTCCCTGTGTAACAGCTCTGGCTGTCCTTTACCTAGCTCTTGTAGACCAGGCTGGCCTCAGAGGTCCGCCTGCCACTGCCTTCTGAGTGCGGGGATTAAGGATGTGTGCCTCCATCAGCCATCACTGCCTGGCTCTTTACTCGCTTAACCCAACTCTAATTTGACTTCTAAGTACACAAGCTGCTGTCCTCTAATGGTGTGCGAAACTCTTGGCTTCATCTAAAAGAATATTATTTATTTGGCCAATAGAGCTTAGTCGTACCATATGCCTTATTTATTTATCTATTTGTTTGTTTGTTTTTTGTGGCAAGCAATGAGGTAGGAAGATGATATTTACCACTTTTAAACTGTTTTGTTTTTGATCCCCTGTTCTTTCCATTTCCCTTGGGAACCAGAGTGGCAAATGAGGGCTTCTCATCAAACTGAAGACTGGAATGAAACGAGTGTGGAGCACTTGACTTAGAAACAGCAATGTGAATAAAAAACTAAAAGTTAATAGTGTTAAGATACTAAGATTTGGGGTGGCTATGATAAAAAGTACCATGGATAGGGAACCTTGGCAGCAGAAAAGTGTTACCATTGTGGGAAATGTGAGACCAAAGAGCCAGTCAGTTCTGTTCCTCCCAAAGATCCTGGATCTTTCACAAGATTACTGGATGCTTTCACAAGAGGAAAAGGAGGTAGACACTTGGCCCTGTTTTTCTCTTTAAACAAAATAGCCTAGTTGTGAAGGCTCTGCCCTTAAGACCTGATTACCTTCCATACTCCCAGTTTCTAAATGTCATTTCTTATGAGGGGCTAGAACTTCACCAGACATTTTAGGAGGACACGAATATTCAGTTCATAAAGGGAGGTTATTGGCTCCCCAAAGCAAAAACTCATAAAACTCCAAGAGATTAGGAAAAGATGAGGTTTAAGGATTAGAGGCCCAGCAATGAAAGGTTTAAGGATTAGAGGCCCATCAATGAAAGAAATGCTTCAAAGCCAGGATCAGATATCTCCATCTAGGGTGCTTTCAAGGTGACTACTGTTGAGAAAAGCAGCAGAGGCATGGGTGTGAAAAAAGCAAAGCAGATTTCAAAACTACTTCCAGAGAGAATTTTAAGTACAAAGCAAATACATCAAAAGCCCACTAGCTTTGAGGGAAAAAAAAAATTGTTGAGTCAAGGTCTCTTTACATAGTCCTGACCTGGAACTCACGTGTTGATGAAGCTGGCTTTGAATTCAGATATCTGCCTGCCTTTTTGACTTCAGAATGCTGAGGGATTAAAGCCATGCATCACTACTTTGGCAGAATAGTTGGTTTAAGGATGTAGCCATGGTTGTCTTGAAACTTGATATGTAGATCAAGTTGTTCTTCAACCTGATCAAGGTTAATCCTTCTGCCTCTGTCTCAGAATTCTGGGTTAAAAGGTGTGTAACAACCACCACACCTAGTAGTGGCTTTGTTTTTGAATATTTGTTCTTATTGCTTTGAATTCCATTTATGAGTACAGGAGCCTGCTGAGGTTACAGATGTCAGAGCCCTGGAGCTGGAGTTACCATTGTGGTTTGTGAGCCACCCCACATGGGTGCTGGGTCCTGAACTCAGAGCCTTTAGATTAACAGTACTTGCTTTCAGCCACTAAGTCATCTCTCCAGCCTTTTAGTTGAATCAGTTTTAAGTAATTTATAATTTGATCCTCAAGTAGGTTTTTATAAAGCAGTTAGAATACAGAAGATGGTGATGGTGAAGATAAACCGCAGCTAGACGTTGTTGGCATCTATTAGATGTTTATTTTCTTTTTAACACATATTATACTTGTATATCTCAAAATAGCCTAATTTTATGCAAACGTGTTAGAGACTAGTATAACTTGTTCTGTTGTCTAGGTGAATTGCTTCTTAACAAGACAGAGCAAAGAATATTGCTCGTTTATTTACATCTTTCTGTCCAAGTAACCCTAGACCAGTGTGTATAAAACTAAGGGTAACATGGTGATATGCTTTACAACTTGGAGAGTTTTCTTTTTTAAAAAATCAAGTAAGGAGTTGGGGATGAGGTTCAGCTGGCAAGGTGTTTGTTTGCCTGGCATGTGCAAAGCTCTGTGTGCAGTCCCCAGCACCCTTAAAACAGAGCGTGGTGACATGTGCCTGTCACTCCAGTGCTGGAGAGGAGGAGGCAGGAGAACATAACCTCTTAAGATCATCCTCACATACACACCATGGAGGTTGTGTGAGAGCCTGCCTCTTACAGTATAGAAGCATATATTTGAAGAAAAGAGGGTTTGAAGAAATCTCTGTGGGAAAAGATTTGTGAACCATTTGTTAGTATGTTTTTTACAGTGAAAAGGAATGAGTCTGGGTCCTCACATAGGCAACTGCTGTGACTTGGAGCTAGATACCAGCCCTGAAGTCTGCTTTAATGCAATCTGTCTTCCGTTGCTGTGAAGAGACTCCATGACCAAAACAACTCATATGAAAGAGGACACTTAATGGGGGCTTGCTTACAGTTTGGAGAGGCTTAGTTCATTATTATCTTGGCAGAGAGCATGGCAACAATCAGGCATGGTGCTGGAGAATGTATCTGGGAGCTATATCCTGATCCACAAACAAAGAGGACTGGGCCTGGCATGGGATTTTGAAACCTCAAAGCCCACTACCCCAGTGACTCACTCCTCCCACAAGGCCACAACTAATCCTTTAATCAGTATTGGGGAGTTCCACTCCTGGGTGACTAAACATTAATAATATATGAGCCTATGGGGGCCATTCTTATTCAAACCAGTACACAGACTCTGGAGAAAATGCTTATAATTCATTTACAGATAAATAACTCATTTTCAAGGAATTATAGCATTATCTTCATAGTTTTCTTTAGCCCAAGAATAAGTAAAACTAAGATTATAATTTTTGTTTCTTCCAGTAGAAATTCTAGACCCGTTTCAAATATATCACCTAAAAACAAAACAGCAACAAACTCACTAGGAGTTAGACATTGTTTAGCACTCGAGTAAAATTTATTTCTAAAATGATCTTAATTGAAATATTTGGAAATCTTAGACATGTTTTAGTGCCGTATTACTTAAAATCTATCACCAAAAGTGACTGGCAGTGTTCAGCATTCAGAAAACGCCTGAGAAAAGGACAGTTGGAGCTGAAGAGTTGCATAAGCAACAAAACACTATATTACTAGCCTCCTTCCTGTTGACTCGGGTCCCACATACCACACATAGGGTGTTTATTTGTATATGCACACACAGATATATATGAACTAAAAATTTAGAGATAGAAGTGTACATCAGAAAGAATACTTATTCATTTTGCAATGGATAATCCTTATAGATCTAACTAGTATAGAGTATATTTAAACTATAGATTGAATGCTGTATTTACTTTGCCAAAATCATCTCCTTTAATAACCACTAAAATTTTAGATAATGTATTTTTGTGTGTGTGTTACATTTACATAATTAAGTATTCTTAAAATTTTCTGAGTTCTTATTTGAAAAAGATGAAACAAATTCTAAAACTTTTGAGCTATGTTTGTCTTTGATAATCTAAAATACATTTTTTTTTTCCCCAAGTTCTACTCAGTGAATGTGGACTACAGCAAACTGAAGAAAGAAGGCCCTGACTTCTAAACCATGAAGCTCACCATAAAGCTGCTTATAATGAAGGTCTTTCAGAAGCATCCGCACAATTTTCCACTTGACCAGGAAATACTCCTCTGAATGCATGAAATCATGTTGAATTTTTGGAGTTTATTAAGCTGATGAATAAATCTTTGAAACTTGATAACGTGTCATTAATTAATGCTGAAAATCCATATGGGACTTTATGGCTAGGGTATATGAAATAAAATACTAAAATTCAAACCATCTCTTGGATTTCTCTATGCATTTGAGCATTTAACTTTATACTGCTTTAGTAAGTGTGTGTGTGTGTGTAGACCCACACATGGTAACTTCTGAATGGAAATTAAATAAAAGGGATATTAGGAAGTATATTCAAGCCATTGTTAAACTGTGGAGTTTACTGCATGTTGGTCAACACTACTGAACATGAGGCCTACTGTGGAGTGGTTGATATATCCCGTGTCACTCCATTGGAGAAAACTGATTTTCCCACTCCCAACAAGTACAATTGAGTTGTTAACCTTTACCTTAGTTTATCTTTAAATATAACAAAATAAAATATAAGAGAAAAATTATACCTTTGTGGACAAGACAAACTAAGAAGGAAAGGAGCCCAAGAGTAAGAGAGACCCACCAGGAATTTCATAAAAATACTAAACCGGAACTCATACATGTACACACACACACACGAAACGTGGTGCAGACCTGTGAGGCTCCTATGAATGCTTCATAGAAACTTTGTTCTTGATTTAGAGGGTCTTATTTCCTTGGTGCACTCCATACCCTCTGGCTCTTACATTCTCCAGGTTCCCTTAGCTCGGGAGGATTTGATAGAGACATCCCATTTAGGGATGAGTGTTCCCTGATCTCCCACTTCAAAATGTCTGGTTGTGGGTCTCTTATTCCCATCTGCTGCAGAAGGAAGCATTGCTGATGGTGGTTGAATAAGACGCTTATCTCCAAGTATAACAGAATATCATTAGGAGACATTTTATCAATATTTTAGGCTGTTATTTTTTGCCTTAGGTCCCTGTGCTGTCTAGCCTCAGGTCACCCAGCTTTTCAGTTTCAGGAGGTCCCATTTATTGTCAGTCTTAGTGTTTGTGCTACTGGTGTTCTATTTAGGAAGTGGTCTTGGGCCAGTGTGTGGAAGGCTATTTCCCACTTTCTTTTTTGTCAGGTTCAGGGTAACTGGGTTTATGTTGAGGTCTTTGATCCACTTGGACTTGAATTTTGTACAGGATGCTAGATAGGGATCTATTTGCATTCTTCTACATGCTGACATCCAGTTATGCCAGCACCATTTGTCGAAGATACTTTTTTCCATTGTATAATTTTGGCTTCTTTGTAAAAACTCAGGTGTTCATAGGTGTGTGGATTTAAAGACTTACGTTAGGGTTTTCGATTCCATTGATCTGTCTTTTTATGCCAGTAACACGCTGTCTTTATTACTATATCTCTGTAGCAGAACTTAAAGTCAGTCATGATGATATCTCCAGAAGTTCTTTTACTGACCCCAGGTAAGACTCATAGCAATAGTGGATAGGTAGCCTGAAGGCCATCTCTTGGAATCCGATTGGTAACTACCCAAATTGTCATCATAGTCTTCACCCGGTGACTGATGGAAACAGATGCAGAGATCCACAGCCAAGCACTGGGACAACCTCAGCAAATACTGTTGAAAAGAGGGAGGAAGGATTGTAGAAGCCAGAGAGGTCAAGGTCATCACAAGGAAACTCACAGAATCAACTAACCTGGGTCATAGAAGCCACAGACTCTGGACCTATACCTAGGGAGCCTTCATGGGACCGACTTAGGCCTTCTACATATGTGTAACAGTTGTATAGCTTGTTCTACTTGGATTCCTTACTGTGGGAGCAGGGATTGTCCTCAGTGCTTTGGCTGGCTTTAAAGAACATGTTCATTATATGGAGTTGCCTTGCTCAGCCTTAATATAAGGAGAGGCACTTAATCTTACCTCAACTTTATATGCCATGCTTTATTGCCACCTTTTCTGAACAGAAACAGGAGGAGTAGAGTGGTGGGGACATGGAGGAAAGGTTGGGGGAGAGAATAGGGGAAGAGGAGGGAGGGGATATTCTTTATTTGTTCTATATGTTCAGTGTTTTGATTATTATGTGCCAAGTGGATTTTCTATGCTGGTTTGATCTATTTGGTGTTCTGTAAGCTTCTTGTGCCTTTATAGGTATCTCATTCTTTGTGTTCAGAAACATTTCTGATGTTATTGAAAATAATTTGTGGGTTTTTGAGCTGGGATTCTTAGACTTCTATTCCTTGGACTTTTCATATTGTCCCAGATTTCCTGGACGTTCTGTGTCTTTTAGATTTAACATTTTCTTTGACAGAGGCATCATATCTGCCTGAGATTCTCTCTCCCATCTTTTGTATTCTTTTGTTGATGCTTCTGTCTGTAGTTCCTGTTCCCTTACCTAGGTTTTTCATGTCCAAAATTCCCTGTTTGTGTGTGTGATTTGTTTGTCTGTTTGTTTTATTTTTTTTTATATTTCCATTTTCAGGTCTTGAACAGTTTTATTCATTTCCTTTAACTGTTTTCTCTTGACTTTCTTTAAGGGATTTATTAATTTCCTCTAATTCTTTGTCTCTATCCTCAATTTCTCTAAGAGATTTATTCATTCCCTATTTAAGGACTTATGTCATCTTCATAAATTAAGTTGGTCTTAAATTTTTTTCCCGTGTGCCTCAACTGTGTTGGACTATTCAGGCTTGCTATAGCGGGATAGCTGGTCTCTGGGAGGCTATATTACCTTGACTGTTGTTGTCTTCTTACACTGGTGCCTAGGTTTGAAGTGATTATAGGTCTAGTTGCTGATTTGAGTTTATCTTTGTTGGATGACTGTTTTGTTCCTTGGTTTCTGCTTCCTCTCTCGTGTTCTGGTAAAAGTTTACCCACTGGCGTCAGTTAAATTTGATGATATATTACAGGTTTTGGCATACAGACAAGGAGAGACTGCCTTTTACACCACAGCTGTTACTAAAAAGTGTGATTTGTATTTCACCCTATGTTTGCTACCTAAGTGTCTACACACAGCATTCATAACAATGTCTCAACCCCTTTGATTTACATTATGACTCAGTGACTGAACATCTTGACATGCTGGTCATCTCTTTATGTTGAAACCAGTACTGAATCAGCCTGGGCCTGATGCTGAAAAAAATGGTGCTATATGAAAGACAAATAGCTGGGAAATTTATTTTGAATCCCACCCCATGTTGTGTTTTTCATTCTTCAAAGTCAAGCATCTGTAATCTAATAACGAAGACAGGGCAGAAAGAAAAAATTATGGAGATAAAAGAAGAGAAAGAAACCCCTCACCCAGGAGCTCAGTTTGAGTCTCAGGCTAAATAAAAACAAGAATTTCAACATGGTCGACGTTTGCTGTGAAGGCTATTTGACATAGAAATAATATTATTTCATAGATGTTTATGGCTAAAGTAATAATGAGCCAGGTTTAAGACCTGTACATATATGACCTTGGGCAGGGCCTATTCCTTTGCCTCCGCATTATTTCAGAAGCTCAAACAGGATTGTCAACTTCATTTACAAAAAAGAACTCCCAACTTCCTGCATCTAGGTGACTTGTACTTTCCCTAGCCAATTTTAATCCTGTCAGATGCTTTCCAAAACCACCCAGTGATAATTTAGCTTCCATAGTTAGAATACTATTGTAAATACTATTGTAAAAACAGAAGCCTGTGCCCATAGAGTAGGAAGCATGTCAGGCTTGTTTTCTGTCTCACTCTTTTCTTAATCAACGTCCTTAAGTCCACACTAAAGCATCTTTGTTAAATCTCAGCTCTGTTTCCTAAAGCCAAGCCCTGATTTTTTGTTGTTGTTGTTTGTTTGTTTGAAAACAAAACTCCTCGTTTGGCTTGGGTTGAAGTCCCTAAGCATTCAGGGGAACTCCTCAAATCACTGCAAGTGAGAGAAAAGAGCTCTGCTTCTTGCCTATCCACACCAGTGAAAATAACTTTTTGTTTTCTTTGTGCATTTAATCAGGAAAAGAACTGAGTTAATACAATGATGTATTTAGACTCATATCCTTAGTAATGATATATTGCAAACTTACCTGCTTTAAACTTTCCAATGGGTCACTTATTTTTCCCTCTGGCATATTCAAACATTTTAAATAATAAAAGAAAATATATTATACAATATGAATGTGTGTGCATGTGTGTACACATGTATGCAAAACTTGAAATTCATATTGGGTGTCTTCCTGAATCATTCTTCATTTATTTATTGGGGTGAGATCTGGAACCCATACCTTGCTCAACCTAGATTTAGTGGGGAGTGTTATCATTGTTATAATTTATAACACTGATTACTGGAGGCTGGTCACCTCGGCATTACTGACCATAGCTTGTCTAGAAATGAGAACATGACGGTCAAGAGCTGATGGGAGCTAAATCCAACATACCCCAAGGTCTACTCAATAAGAAAGTTTTGATGCCCTTTAAAACTTGTATTTTAGTGCCTGGAGAGATGACTCAGTGTTTAAGAGCTCTAGCTATCCTTCCAGAGGTCCTGAGTTGAATTCCCAGCAACCTAATGGTTGGCTCACAGCCATCTATAGGGGATCTGATGCCCTCTTCTGGCATAAAGTACATGAAGATAGAACACTCATACATAAATAAAACTTAAAGAAAACGACTTGTATTTTTTTGTAGAATATACATAAGGCAGACTAAAAAAGAAAAGAGACTAACAATATTTGACAGCGTAATTTAGCTTTTTTTCCCCCATGGAATTTTGTTTTCACCTTATCTTAGGAAGGTCAAGCCAGGGAGTGAGAAATAGTGAAGGGAAAAAGATGTCAGACAGAAAGGCAGGTCTACTGGTCATCAGCTGAACAGCTGAGAGGTCTTTCCATGAAGACAGAGTTTCCAGGAATTGAGAAAATCATTTCTTTAGCAGGTGTTTAGATAGTGCAGAAGTAACAAGCTACTGGAAATTTTAAATAATTGATGAGAACTAATTTTCTCTATTAGGAGTCAAAATCTAGGAGGAAAAAGCATGGGGCTTAGAACGGAATAGGTTTTATGTTGAGTTTCCTGTGGGTAGGTATTTTTCTTTGGTGGCTCTCTAGTAAATAGAGCCTGGGGCAAGATTTGTGGGCAAGG